GTTTCTGTGCAACTAGGGAGTATTTAAAAGGAGACAAGGCTAAAAATTTAAAAGAGGAGATAGAGAAGAGGTGAGAATCTTAGGGTAGGGGAAACTGGGCTTTCATGCTTTCTCTGTGTGATGCAAATGCTTTGCTCTGTGTGAACAGTCTGCCCTTGTGTAGCCTAACCACATTTACAAGTCACTAAATAAAGAGGAGTGCCTGTTGAGGATTTTCTTCTATTTGTTTTGCTGCTCTGCTTTTGTTTTTTTTTTTTATCTATGGATTGTTGTTTTTGTGTAAATCCTCACTGGAGGGAGTGAAGGAGGGGAAGAGAGAGAAAAACATCAATGTGAGAGAGACACATCTATTGGTTCCCTCCTGCACACACCTGACCAGGCCAGAGATGGAACCTGCAACCCAGGTATGTGCCCTTCACCAGGAATTGAACTTGAGACCCTTCAGTGGATGGGCGGACCCTCTAACCACTGAGTAATGCCTGCGAGGGTTGTTTGGGGAGGCGGGGTTGTTTGTTTTTTAAATTTTTCTGGAGAATGGCTCACTTTTAGAGATAAGGACTAAGAGGGAGCAGGGAAGAGTGGATACCTTGCCCTAGCTGGTTTGGCTCAATGGATAGAGCATCAGCCTGCAGACTGAAGGGTCCCAGGTTCGATTCTGGCCAAGGGCACTGCCTGGGTTGCAGGCTCGATCCCTAGTAGGGGACGTGCAGGAGACAGCCAGTCAATGATTCTCTCTCATCATTGATGTTTCAATCTTTCCCTCTCCCTTCCTCTCTAAAATCAATAAAATATATTTAAAAAAAAAAAAAAAAGAGTGGGCACCTCACTCTTTCTGGCCTGTCTAGGTGGAAGCCCTGCAGGCTCAGCTGGAAGAACAGACCAAGCTTTCTAGAGAGCAAGTTGAAGGGCTCATGGAGGATAGACGGATCCGCATTGAGGAAATACAGGTTCATCACCAAAGAAATCAGGACAAAATCAAAGAGCTTACCAAAAAGTGAGTGTTGAAGAAAGCTGTACCTAACAGATTTTTAAATTTTTCTGAGTGGCTTTAAAGTTAACAGTCCTATCCTTTTAGCAGCATAGTGTCATAGAACTGACAGGGACCTTGAAAAAATTGTCTTTATCAGACACCCCTGCGCCTAGGTAGGTAGGGATCCAGGCTTTTCTAGGAATGCTATTCTTCTCTTGAAGAGCTGGTGGGTACGTATTTCACATGCTTAATTTAACCCATTTTAGTACTTCAGCTTGATCTTAGTGATTAAGAACTGTACTTTATCCACTGATATGTTATCTGACAATTTGGAGGGCCTTTTTCTTTAACTTGGTCCTTCATGAATCTGGGAAAACGTGACTTTACATTGTCTCTGTACTCACTGCTTTTGTTTCTTACCTGCCTGCCTTTCCTCACCTTTCTGTAATGTGATTTCATCCCCATCCTTTTCTAAGCATACCCTTTCTAGGGTCATCACTGACTTCTTAATTTCTCTGGCCAGTTCTCTTTTTTTTTATGATTTTATTTTTTTTTAATTTTTTTATTGCTTTCAGAGAGGAAGGGAGAGGGAGAGAGAGATAGAAACATCAATGATGAGAATCGTTGATTGGCTGCCTTTTGCATGTCCCCTGCTGGGGATTGAGCCTGCAACCCGAGCATGTGCCCTTGACCAGAATTGAACCTGGACACTTCAGTCCCCAGGCCGATGCTTTATCCACTTAGCCAAACTGCCTAGGGCTGACCAATTATCTCTTTACAGTCCTCATTGTAATTAGTATCTTTTTGCATATTTGGAACCTTCCATAACTCTGTCTTTGAAATTAATCTCTTTTGATATCTGTAACACCTGTCTTTTTTGGTTCTTCTAACCTATCTAATCCTTCTCAGGGTTTTTTTGGTCTGGTTCCAGTGGCCTGACCTGTGCTCTAAAGTCATCTTCAGTTGAATATGTTTGAACACCTCAAATTGACCATGAAACCAATCTGTTGTGTGTTGTTTTTTTTTCCCAACAAGCACCCCTTCCCCCATCTCAAACCTCCCACTTCATTCTCTTTCCCATTTAGTTTAATGACATCACATCCAGTTTCCCAGGCTTGAAACTTCAGGATTATCTTCAACTCCTCACTCTTATTCCCTAATTCCAGGCCCTATTGAGTGCAAGTCTAAGAAGCCTCTCAAATCATTCTCTGCCTTTTCATTCTTACCATATTGGTTCAAGTTATATTCCTGTTTATAGTGTTGAAATAATCTAAGTGTTCTTCCTAGCATTGGTCCCTTTGTATTCATTCTATAGTCTTCCTCACTATTACTAGTAGCTCCTGCAGTAGAACTTATCAAGTGCTTAAAAACATTTGATAGTTCCCTGTTTAGCTTATGATAAAGGCCTAATACCTTAGCATAAATTATTAGGTACTTCATCTGGCACTAAATTAACCTTTCAGTCTCACCTCCTTTTCTGTTGCTGTAGTTCACCTTGTCCTTCAGCCAGAATAATAATATCTGTTGTTTATGGAACACTTGCTATGTGGTAGATACCTTGCAATGCAGTGTTACTTCTTCTCTGAAGACTTCCCAAGGCAGAATTAAATTATTCCTCCTCCATATTCCCATAATGATTAGCATGCTTCTACGATGACACTTATCATCGCCTATTGTAATTACTAGAGGCCCGGTGCATAACATTTGTGCACTGGGGGGTGGGGGGGTCCCTCAGTCTGACTGCGCGCTCTTGCAGTCTGGGATTCCTTGGGGGATGTCCCACAGGGGAGCGGGCCTAAGCCAGCAGTCATACATCCCCCGAGGGGTTCTTAGTGCTGCCGTGGAGGCAGGAGAGGCTCCCGCCACCGCCATTGCGCTCGCCAGCCGTTAGCCCGGCTTCTGTGCTCCCCCTGTGGGAGCATACTGACCACCAGGGGGCAGCTCCTGCGTTGAGTGTATGCCCCCTGTTGGTCAGTGCACATCATAGTGACTGGTTGTTCCGCTGTTTGTCTGATTTGCATATTAGGGTTTTATTATATAGGATGCCTTTTTTCCTGCAGGGTCTTGCCCTGTGTGCATAATAGGTGCACAATAAACATCTGTTGAATACTTGGTGATATTTATCAAGTTGCATCTTACCATCTCTTTTCTATGTTAAACATTCCTACATTTTAAAATACTTATTCATATATTCTTCATCCCTTCATTGTTTTTTTATTGTCTTCTCAAACTTTCATAGTGTAAGGTTGATCTCTTACCTCCTCCCCCTCCCCTGCCTTCCCGCTGTAGTTTGACAGTCTGTTCAATGCTTCTTTGCCTCTATCTCTTCCTTCATTTTAAAGTGTTCTTGATTAAAGTTGCATATTCAAATTAAGATATTCAAATTAAGATTTATGACCAATGCAGGCTAGAAAATTTCCTATCTTAGGTATATTGTACTTATGCATAATAGCATTTTCACTTTTCACTGGATTGTAATTGTTTTTAAAGGAACAGTATTTTTTTAGCTCTTTATTGTTGAGTATTACAGATGTTCCCCCACAATTTTCCCCCCAATTGTCCCCCTCCACTGGATCCTGCCCCACCCCAGGCATTCACCAACCTATTTATTGTCTGTGTCCATGGGTAATGCATGTATGCATGTAAGTTCTTTGGTTAATCTCTTCCCGTCCCTCCTCCTCCATTCCCTCTGAGATTCATCAGTCTATTTAATGTTTTCATGCCTCTGGTTCTATTTTATTCATCAATTAATTTTGTTCATTAGATTTCTTGTTCATTTATTTTGATTGTTAGATTCAGTTTTTGATAGATATGTATTTATTGCCATCTTATTGTTTATATTGTGATCTTTTTCTCCTCCTTCTACTCCTCCTCTTTCCTCCTTTTTCCTTCCTCCTTCCTCCTTCCCCCTCCTCCCTTTTCTTAAGAATACCCTTTAACATCTCATGTAATACTGGTTTGTTGATGATGAACTCCTTTAACTTTTTCTTGTCCGTGAAGCTCTTTATCGGACCTTTAATTCTAAATGAGAGCTTTGCTGAGTAGAGTAATCTTGGTTGTAGGTCCTTGCTATTCATCACTTTGAATAGTGTCCTTGCCACTCCCTTCTGGCCTGCAAAGCTTCTGTTGAGAAATCAGCTGACAGTCGTATGGGTGCTTACTTGTAGGTAACTAACTGCTTTTCTCTTGCTGCTTTTAATATTTTCTCTTTGTCTTTAACCTTCGTCATTTAAATTATAATGTGTCTTGGTTTGGGCCTCTTTGGGTTCATCTTGTTTGGGATTCTGTGCTTCCTGCACTTGTACTAGTATGTCTATTTCTTTCACCAGGTAAGGGAAGTTTTCTGTCATTATTTCTTCAAATAGGTTTTTAACTTCTTGCTCCCTCTCTTCTCTTTCTCGCAGCCCTATGATGTGAATAGTTTGCTTGAAGTTGTCCCAGAGGCTCCTTAGTCTTCATATTTTTTGGATTCTTTTTTCTTTTTGCTGTTCTGATTGGGTGTTTTTAGTTCCTCATATTCCAAATTGCTGAGTTGATTCTTGGTGTCCTCTACTCTACTGTTTTTTTTTTTTTTAATTTCATTTTATTGTTTAAGGTATTACAAATAATACATAAGTCTCCTTTATTCCCCCCATTGACCTCCACCCGGCCTCCTCTACCCCCCAGCACTTGCCCTCACCCTCTTCCCCCCAGTGTCTTGTGTCTATTGGTTGTGCTTATATGCATGCATACAAGTCCTTTGGTTGATCTCTTACCTCCTCCCCCTCCCCTGCCTTCCTGCTGTAGTTTGACAGTCTGTTCAATGCTTCTTTGCCTCTATCTATTTTTGTTCAACACTTTATAATGTTTTTTATATTCCACAAATGAGTGAGATCATGTGGTATTTATCTTTCACTAACTGGCTTATTTCACTTAACATAATGCTCTCCAGTTTTATTCATGCTGTTGCAAATGGTAAGAATTCCTTCTTTTTTACAGCAGCGTAGTATTCCATTGTGTAGCTGTACCACAGTTTTCTAATCCACTCATCTGCTGATGGGCACTTAGGCTGTTTCCAGATCTTAGCTATTGTAAATTGTGCTGCTATGAACATAGGGGTGCATATATCCTTTCTGATTGGTGTTTCTGTTTTCTTGGGATATATTCCTAGAAGTGGTATTACTGGGTCAAACGGCAGTTCCATTTTTAAATTTTTGAGGAAACACCATACTGTTTTCCACAGTGGCTGCACCAGTCTGCATTCCCACCAGCAGTGAAGGAGGGTTCCTTTTTCTCTGCATCCTCACCAACACTTGTCGTTTGTTGATTTGTTGATGATAGCCATTATGTCAGGTGTGAGATGGTACCTCATTGTTGTTTTGATTTGCATCTCTCGGATGATTAGTGACTTTGAGCATGTTTTCATATGTCTCTTGGCTTTCTGAATGTCCTCTTTCGAAAAGTGTCTATTTAGGTCCTTTGCCCATTTACTCTACTGTTGATTCCTTGTAAGTTATTCTTAATTTCAGTTAGTGAATCCTTCATTTCTGACTGATCATTTTTTATGTTGTTGATGTTCTCACTAAGTTCCTTGAAGTTCTCAACTTCCTTGAGCATCCTTGTAACCATTGTTTTGAATTCTGTATATGGTAGTTTTCTTGCTTCATTTCTTTTACTTCTTTTTCTGGAGATTTCTCCTGTTCTTTCATTTCTGACATGTTTCTTTGTCTCTGCATACTGGCTGCTTTGCTGTATTTGGTTCTATATTAGGTAAAGCTGCTATGTCTCCTGGAATTGGTCGAGTGGCCTTGTCTAGTAGGTGTCCTGTAGGGCCTAGTGGCTCAGCCTCCCCAGTCATCTGAGTTGGGCACTCTAGGTGCGCCCCTGTGTGTGCTGTGTGCACCATCCTGTTGTAGTTGAGCTTGATGGCATCACTAGGAGGAATTGACCTCCAGGCCAATTGGCTGTGCGAACCAGCTGCAACTGCAGCGGAAGAGCTGCTCTGCAGGAGATGCCTCTATGGAGTAGGACTTCAGTGGGGCTTTGGTGCTCATCAAGTCTACCCCTTGAATATGTCACTGGTTGATGTGGTAGGGTTGTAATCTGTTGTGGTCTGAAGCTGACCACCAGGTGCTCTGGCTGTGGGTCCTCCTGCCTGTGTCCTGCCTGGGGCCACCCAGCATGAGCTACAGGGTCATCTGCATATGGCTGCTACTTGCATTGAGTTTGGAGAGGCCAAGCTGTGAAGCAAGGCAGGCTGCTTCTAGTGCTGGGCCTGGGGCCTCTTATTGAGTGGTATGGGACATACTGACACCAGCTGTTGCTTGTTTGAGAGATTTTAGGAAAGTCTGAAGCCTGAGCCAGGACAGGCCATTCATATAGAAAAGCCACTGCAAACAGCTTGGGTGGGGCTACAAATTGGGTGGGGCAGGGTCTCAGTGAATCCAATCAGGGCAGAGCTAACAGTGTGAGCCAGGTTGAGGGAAACTCAGATATGGCAACTTCCTGTTGGCACTGTGTCTCAGCAAAGGGACAGTGACCTCTGCCAGCACTTTTGTCTGAGAGAAAAGCTGCCCCCCAGTTCTTGCCCTGATGCCAGACAATTTAGTTCCTCCCTGTATGTCCCTAGATCCTTTCAAGCTGCTGCCCCAGCATTGGAGCTCAGAGAGAGTGAGTCAGAGTAAGTCTATGTACCGGCCCTTTAAGAGGTACTGCTTGGTACTCCAGCAGCCCCCATGTCACTCATGGTTTTTACAGCCTGGAGTTATGGGGACTTCTCTTCCCAGCACTGGAACCCTGGGCTGAGGAGTCTGGTGTGGGGCTGGGACCTCTTATTCCTTACAATGGAGCAAGAAAATGAGGGGGGGCTCTGCGGCCAAGATATCCCTCTGGATTAAAAAAACTCCACACGTGGCTGTGTGACCAACCATTCCACACCTCCCACCTTCCTACCAGTCTCAACGTGGCTTCTGCTTTAATTCTGCAGTTTGGGGCCTTCCATTCAGCCAGATTTGAGGTGGTACTGAATGATGGTTGTTCTGTGGTTTAGTTGTAATTTTGATGTGGTCGTGGGAGGATGCAAGAGCTGCTTTTACCTATGCCGTCATCTTGGCTCCTCCTCCTGGGAACAGTATTTTTTAATTGTCATAGTAATTTGTAATTTTATATTTGTTTTTCAGAATATTAATAACCATCCTTGTTTAGCATCATCTGCATGTCTGACCACATGATCAGTTCCTTCCATTATGTCATCCTAAGGATATTAAATGGCATGAAATCCAAGTGCCCTTTTGGTGTCACTTTCAAACCATTGATACATTAACAAGACCATACTTCCCAGTCTGTAATTGAGAACATAATGTCAGATAAAATAACTCATTGAAAGGAAGAGATAACCTTGTGGTAACTGAATCAGTCCCTCCCTCTTTATACACATACATATATCTAAATATATATATTTTAACTTACTGACAGTTATTCTACTTTGTGCCTGGCATTAGGCTATCATTTTTCTCTTATCTTTTACTCATGAAAAGAACTAAATGGATCTGACATTATTTGTTCTGTGGAAAATTATAGTGATTGTCTCACAGTATTTAATATTCTTTGCAAACAGCTAGATTATTTGATACAGTATTTTTCTAGGTGTTGCTATTAAATCAATGGGTTGCTTACTTCTAGGGATATTCTTTGTTATAGAGAGAAACATCATTTTTCTATATTTCAATAATCAGCAGGAATCTGTTTAGTACCTTGTGTATGTCTATTAGTTTGGTGATAGTGGGACAAAGATATATGATAAGTAAGTATATGCTTTCACTCAGGTTGGAAAACATGCATGTTGACAGTTAGAACCTGACAGTTTATAAGCAAGTTGAATTATAACACAGGAGACCAGATTTAAACTGATAAAGAATTTCAGGTCGAGCCGAAACCGGTTTGGCTCAGTGGATAGAGCGTCGGCCTGCGGACTGAAAGGTCCCAGGTTCGATTCCGGTCAAGGGCATGTACCTGGGTTGCGGGCACATCCCCAGTGGGAGATGTGCAGGAGGCAGCTGGTCGATGTTTCTCTCTCATCGATGTTTCTAACTCTCTATCTCTCTCCCTTCCTCTCTGTAAAAAATCAATAAAATATATTAAAAAAAAAAAAAAAAGAATTTCAGGTCGAAACCGGTTTGGCTCAGTGGATAGAGCGTCAGCCTGCGGACTGAAGGGTCCCAGGTTCGATTCTGGTCAAGGGCATGTACCTTGGTTGCGGGCACATCCCCAGTGGGGAGTGTGCAGGGGGCAGCTGATCGATGTTCTCTCTCATCGATGTTTCTAACTCTCTCTCTCCCTTCCTCTCTGTAAAAAATCAATAAAATATGTTTTTAAAAAAAGAATTTCAGACAATGGAGAAATTAAATGGCCTGAAGTTGTCAAGATGACTGCAGAAAGGAAGTTGATCTTGAAAACAAAACAAGATTTGATATTGTGCAGTTTACATATGGAGCACAGCATAAACAAACGCAAAGCTGTTTTTGATATCTTAGAATTTGTGTTAACCCTCGGTCAGAACACTATGAGTTACTTCTTTATTGTAGTCTAGTGTCTTGGGATAGTCCGTACTTATGCAGGCTATGTGTAAATATTTCTGTAGTCCTAATAACTATATACCCTGCAATTAGTACTTGGAAAAATATATGTAAAGACCAGTTTGTGAAACAGTGAGCATGGGTACATACATTACACTTCGTTCAGTAAAACCTCTGTGGTTGTCAGTAATCAGATTGTATTTTTTAAAACTGCTAATAATAATTTACATAACTTATTATATAATTTTTAAAGAATCCATATCTTTTCTTTGTTTGGAATAACTATGTCGTATGTGCTATGTAAGCATCTTCATGTCCACTTTTGTACTTTCTTTCATAGTCTCCATCACACCCAAGAACTGCTCTATGAGAGCACCAAAGACTTTTTGCAACTTAGATTTGAAAACCAAAATAAGGAGAAGTCGTGGATGCTTGAAAAGGATCAGTTGATGTCAAAGATTAAGCAATACAGGGCACAGTGTAAGAAGAAAGAAGATAAAATTGGAAAAGATTGCCCAGTTGTTCATGAGAGTCATCGCAAGCAAAATGAATATATTAAGGTAGTTTCTGTATATTTACAGAAATTCTTTTTTGTTTGTTCTGCAAGAATTTGAAAAACTCAGAGAATTCCAAAGAACCCCAGAATTATCATACAAGATCCATTTAGTCCAAGAGCTGATGTAGCAACAACCTCAAGAAACAGGTTTCAAAGAATAGCTCATCATTACAGTGTTTAGAGATTTAGAAAATGAAATGATTGATTGATCAATCGATCAATTGATTTATTCATTCATTCAACAAATATTTTCTTTTGTAATTCTCACCAGAGGATACCTTTCCATTGACTTTTGAGAGGGTAGAAGAGAGGAAGTAAGGAAGGGGAGAGAGAGAGAGAGAGAGAGAGAGAGAGAGAAACATAGATGTGAGAGACACATTGATTGGTTGTCTCCCACGTGCACCCCGACTGGGGCAAGGATTGAACCTGTAACCCAGGTACGTGCCCTTGACTGGGAATCAAACCCACAATCCTTTAGTCCTTGGACCGATGCTTTCCCACTGAGCTACACCAGCCAGGGTTCATTCAACAGATATTTAAGGCACTCCTATTATGGGCTAGGCTTTGGGTCTATAGCAGTAAATAAGCTTGACCAGGTCTGCTATCATGGCATTTACATCTCTTTAAAAAATATGTTTTTATTGATTTCAGAGATAAAGGGAAAGAGAGAGAGAGATAGATACACCAATGATATGAGAGAATCATTTTTTGGTTGCCTCCTACTTTCCCCCCCCCCCCCCCCCAACCTGGGAGCCTGCAACCTGGGCATGTGCCCTGATTGGCAGTTGAAATGTGACTTCCTGGTTCATGGGTGCAGGCTCAGCCATTGAACCACACCAGCTATGCATGGCATTTATATCTTAATGGGTGAGAAAACAGAAACATTAACAATCAAAAAAGGGTAGCCCAGACCTAGCTGGTTTAGCTCAGTGGATAGAGTATCGGCCTATGAACTGAAGGTCCTGGATTCGACTCCAGTCAGGGGCACATGCCCAGGTTGCAGCCTAAATCCCAGTGTGGGGCATGCAGGAGGCAGCTGGTTGATGATTCTCCCTCATCGTTGATGTTTCTATCACTCTCTCCCCCTCTCCCTTCCTCTCTGAAATCAATAAAAAATATACTGAAAAAAAGAAAAAGGATAGCCCAGCTGGCGTGCCTCAGTGGTTGAGTGTCGACCTATGAACCAGGAGTTCATGGTTTGATTCCTAGTCAGGGCACATGCACAGGTTGCAGGCTTGATCCCCAATGTGGGGCAGGCTGGAGGTAGCCGATCAGTGATTCTCTCATCGATGTTTTCTCTCTCTCTCTCTCTTTCTCTCTCTCTCTCTCTCCCTCCCTCCCTCCCTCCCTCCCTCCCTCTTCCTTCCTCTCTGAAATCAATAAAAATATATATTTTAAAAAAGGATAGATTATGAGCCTGGGTCAGGTAGCTAGAGCATTGTCCTGATTACCAAGGTTGTGGGTTTGATCCCCTGTCAGGTCACATACAAGAATCAACCAATGAATGCATAAATAAGTGGAACAACAAGTAGATGTTTCTCTCTCTCTCTCTCTCTCTCTCTCTCTCTCTCTCTCTCTTTCTCTAAAATCAGTAAATAAAAATAAAAAATTTAAAAGAGAAAATTATTATGATAAATTGATGTTAAGGAAGTAAAAGGATTATATGAAGATAATATGTAGTTGCTGGGAATCTAGTTTTATGGAGTAGCATCGAGACACTCTCTTAAGCCTGGTGTTTTAACTGAGGCCTGAAAAATGGGATTTAGCTTGCCGTTAGATCTAGGGGGGAGCATTCCAGGGAGAGGGGAGAGCAAGTTTAAAGGCTCTGGAGTATGTATGTTTAAAAAGGAAGTGGTATACAGGGAGGTTGAAGGGTGGCCCTCCATGACTGGTTGCTACACACACCCTCAGCCTCCTGGTGTAACACTTCCTCCTTGCTTATTTCTCTTTAACCTTTTTTTTTTTTTTATTAAATTTTTATTGTTCAGATTACATTTGTTCCTCTTCCCCCCCCCCATAACTCCCCTCCTTCCAGTTCCCGCCCCACCCTCCGCCCTCACTCCCCACCCACTGTCCTCATCCATAGGTGCACGATTTTTGTCCAGTCTCTTCCCGAATCTCCCATTCCCCTTCCCCCCCCAAGAATAGTCAGTCCATTCCCTTTCTATGTCCCTGATTCATTATAATCACCAGTTCATTCTGTACATCAGATTATTTATTCACTTGATTCTTAGATTCACTTGTTGATAGATGCATGTTTGTTGTTCACAATTTGTATCTTTACCTTTTTCTTCTTCCTCTTCTTAAAGGATACCTTTCAGTATTTCGTATAATACTGGTTTAGTGGTGATGAACTCCTTTAGCTTTTCCTTGTCTGTGAAGCTCTTTATCTGACCTTCAATTCTGAATGATAGCTTTGCTGGATAAAGTAATCTTGGTTGTAGGTTCTTGGTATTCAGCACTTTGAATATTTCTTGCCATTCCCTTCTGGCCTGCAAAGTTTCTGTTGAGAAATCAGCTGACAGTCGTATGGGTATTCCCTTGTAGGTAATTGAGTCTCTTTCTCTTGCTGCTTTTAAGATTCTCTCTTTGTCTTTTGCTCTTGGCATTTTAATTATGATGTGTCTTGGTGTGGTCCTCTTTGGATTCCTTTTGTTTGGGGTTCTCTGCACTTCTTGGACCTGTAAGTCCATTTCTTTCACCAGGTGGGGGAAGTTTTCTGCCATTATTTCTTGAAATAGGTTTTCAATATCTTGCTGTCTTTCATCTTCTGGCACCCCTATTATTCTGATGTTGGTACGCTTGAAACTGTCCCAGAGGCTCCTTACACTATCTTCATATTTTTGGATTCTTTTTTCATTTTGCTTTTCCAGTTGGGTGTTTTTTGTCAAATCTTTGGTTTGATTCTTGTGCTCCTCTGGTCTGCTATTGGGTATAATATTCTTTATTTCAGTCCGTGTATGCTTACTTTCTAATTTCTTTATCGTAGCATCGAGGGTCTCATTAGTTTTCGTGAGGCTCTGCTCAAGTTTATAGCAAGCCCTCAAAATTGCGATTCTTAGCTCCATATCCTCCATTTCTGTCATGTTTTTTTGTCTCCGCATCTTTTATGCTTTCTTGGTGCACCCCCTTGTGGTCTTTGTGCGCAGTCTTGTTCTAGCCAAGCCTTAATTGTTGTAGTTAACACTAGAGGGATTTGACCACCAGGCCGACTGGCTGTAGGAATCAGCTGTGTGGAAAACTTCAGTCCTCTGGGGAGGCGCTAGTCCAGCCTTTGCCTGAGGCGATCGGCAAATGGCTCTGCTCAGGGCCTGGGCGGGGCGGGCTCAACAGGGCGGGGGGAGGGAGCAGCTATGGCTGCTCTCAGTCCGTCTCCAGGGGCTCTACCTCTCTGTCCCCACAACCGCTGCAAACCTCGGAGGGACCGTAGCCAGACAGTCCCGCTTCTCCCGTTTGAGTCTGGGTCCCTAGAGACTCGCCCGGATCTGTAGCCCAGAGTCTGAGACTCACTCCTGATTGAAAACGACAACCGCGCCCTCAGCCACCAGCCCGCTTTGCGCGCGCACCGCCACACCACCGTACCTTTAAATTTTCCACACTGCGCCTCCTCTAAGCCTCGTAATGCTGTTGTTTTTCCTTCTAGTTGAAGAGTCTCTCCTCAGCCAGCCTTCCTGTGGTTCTGGGTGATGTCCGTTCCGTCTTTTAGTTGTATTTTTGAAGTGGTTGTTCGAGGCAGCAAACTCCGGTGTTTACCTATGCCGCCATCTTGGTTTCTCTCTCTTTAACCTTATATTCTTCCTTTTGCTTGTCCATACTCCAGGACCTTTAAACTTACTCTTTTCTCTGCCTAGAATGCTCTTTCCCCAGGTCTGTATTTAAGGAAGGAACACGATCTTACTTAGCTTTTTTTAAAGATCATTCTGACTTCTCAGTGTGACATGTATAAGTATTGTTGATGTTTCTTTCTTTTTAAAGAACTTCAGAAATGTGCCCCAAACATGTACAGTAGTTCCTTGGTATCTGCAGGGCATTGGTTCCAGACACCAAAATCCATGGTTGCTCAAGTTCCATATATAAAATAGCATAGTATTTATATTAATCTATACACATCCTCCCATATAGTTTAAATCATCTCTACTCATAATACCTAATACAATGTAAATGCTATGTAGCCCGGTTGGTGTTGCTCAGCGGTTGAGCACTGACCTATGAACCAGGAGGTCATGGTTCGATTCCCAGTTAGGGCACATGCCCAAGTTGTGGGCTCCATCCCCAGTAGGGGGCGTGCAAAAGTGGCAGCCTATCAGTGATTCTCATCATTGATTTTTCTATCTCTTCTCTCTCTGAAATCAATGAAAAAAGTATTTTTTTAAAGAAACAACATGTAGATGCTATGTAAATGGTGGTATACTATATCATTATGGCAGCGAT